ATGATGGTTGGTTGAAAGTCATCTAGTTTTGGTGCCACATCAATTGCCTTTTTAATATATTTTTTAAATTGTAAAGATACTTTATGGACAACCTATAAATATATATATATATATATATATATATATATATATATATATAATGTGTGTGTGTGTGTTTATGAAGTCTCTTTACGATTTAAAGTTATTACAAAAGCAAATGAACAGACAAATATGTAGAAATTGTTACATAATTAGGATTAGATATTGAAGTTTTTTTTTTAACTAATTTAATACACCTCTATATGAGCACCATTAATTGCACAAAGCACATCAAGACGGTAATCGATTTCTTGTCATGTTCGAAGTAGCATTGCCTCAGCAATGGTGGCAATGGTATCAGTGATTTTTTGCTTTAGATCAGTGATGTCTCCTATCTTTATTCGATAAACGATATCTTTAACATAAGCCTAGAGCAAAAAGTCCAGGGGAGTGATATCTGGTGAACGAAGTGGCCAGGGAATTGGGCCATCCCTTCCAATCCACCAGTTTGGAAATATTAGGGGGTTCATTTTAACAGTACGTCTTTCATAAAGAGGATACCTGAAATGCACAAATGCAATTCGAATGCAATTGAGTACATAGAACAAAGCTGATTAATATATCTCATCAATTGCTTTTGTAATATATTTTATAAATTGTAAAAAAAAAACCTTATGGACACCTTGTATATATGTAGGCATAGTGGTATTTAGATATAGGTAGTACCATTGATGTCTGGCACACTGTACCTTTTCGTAGACGGGTATCATTGTTCCTCGACTATTTCCTAAAGTTATCACGTGATAAATATATAATTTGCCATATATATATAAACCATATCAGCTATATATATAAAGTCATATTAGGTGGTGTTAACACTGTAATATTAATTACAGGCGAAGGACCTCCTTGACGCGTGTCACCACCCAGGGTGGAAGGTTTCTTCAGATGTTCTACAACGGAAATGTTCACTATTCAATGTTAGCAATGGCATCAGTGTTCTTTTGCTTTTAGATCAGTTATGTCCCGATAAAAATCTTTAACTCCCATAGAATGAATTGGCCACCTATTTGGATGACATTGGTTATGGCTTAATCTGAAGAGGAATGGGATCCGTCAGGTTAATATTCCCAAAACAAGGCACATGATGAGCACTCCAAGCAATCCTTCGGGAAGACCCAGGATCTCGTACAACCGAGGCAGATGTAGGAGAATAGTAGGCAGCTCAACACGTCGGCGCCACAACATTTCCTTCTGGAGATAAGGACGAAAGGAGAAATTTGGGCAAGTCGTCTCCATTCCCCTTCCATTTTGTTGTCTTCTTTGACTGCATCTTTTTTTGTTGTTCTGATCAGTTTCTAGGCATTCCTATGCTGCGAGCGACCACTGGTTGGTCGATAGAAAACTCTTCAAGAATCTTTAAATTTCAAAACAAAGGAATTGAGCACTCCAAGCAATCCTTCAGTGTAACCCGGATATAAGAGAGTTGTCGGGACCGGAGAAGAAGTCTCTTATATCCGGGTTTGGTCTATTGGATATAGGCTCTAATTTGGGACCAGAGAAATCTCCATTTTGTTGTCTTCTTTATATCATCTTTTTTGTTGGTCAGTTTCATATCCGGGTCACTGGTTGGTCGATAGAAAATCCGGGTCTCTTCAAATCCGGGTCTCTTATATCCGGAGTTCTCATATCCGGGTCTCTCATATCCGGGTCTCTCTATTATCCGGGTCTCTAATTTGGGTCTTAAGAAATCTCTCTTATATCCGGGTCTCTTATATCCGGGTCTCTCATATCCGGGTCTCTCATATCCGGGTCTCTCATATCCGGGTCTCTCATATCCGGGTCTCTCATATCCGGGTCTCTCATATCCGGGTCTCACTGTACCTGATTTTTATGTCCATAATTCTGTAGCTACTGTTCGCCGACATATTCTAGGGCCATTTCCAAAATCTACATCCAGCTATTTTTGATTGTGAAACTGCCTACACGTTTTCAGGACAAGACAAGGCGGCAATTCAAAATAGGTCCTGTTCCAAATGAAGATTCGCTTTTTAGCGATGAAAAAACGATAAAACAAAAAATGATCCGAAGGAATTGACCCGGCTATTTTCGACTGTCGTCTCGCATTTTCTCTTCTTCTTCCGAACATTTGCAACAAAATATGATAATTAAGTGTAAGGAGGGGATAAATATTGCCAGAGTTTCACCTGTAGACAGCACAATATATGAAAAACATCCACTTTGAAGAGGGCAATTATTAGAAATTTAAAATAGTTTAAGATGGCCGAATTCTTGCACGGTACTCGACATGGAATGACCCAATGAACCTAATGGATCACGAGAATTTTGAACGTCATTGTATGTCAATTGTATAAATTTGGTGGAGTAAGGAGGCACGGTGGAGTAATGATTGAGGAATCGGAGAGCCGAGTTCGAATTGCAGTCGGATCCATTACATTCACTTAAGCGCTAATACCTTTGGGAAAGGTATGAATCCTCTTCTTCTCCCTCCAGCTATGGGTAAATAGCAGGACAGACTGGGTTCTATAGCCTTGGATGGCAACTAGTCTAGGAGAAGGAAAGACTCTGAATTCAAAACCTGCGGAGGGTCGTTTGGGGACCTTGTGGCACGTAGTGCAACAGGTCTCTATAATCGGCCCTTCAAAAAGTGTGGATGGTCCTGCACGAAACCTTCACCACTATAATCAAATCTCATGTGCTATACATCTTGGTTGGGGACCGCCTGTGAATTCCAAATTCCCATGAAACTCCAATATTGGTGCTGGTTAAACCCACCCCGGGCAAATGCCGTTACAAGAACAAGAGAGAGAAGTATGTACTTGAATCTATAAAATAACCTTTGAATCTTGATCTTAAATCGAAACAGCATTTTTAGTCAACTCGCAAAAATTCTACATCGTGTTTTGCGATCAAGGATATCATCAGCGATTTTATTTTATTTAATCTACATGAGAAAATTGTTTTCGTTCCATCCCATGTCTAGAGATATCTTGTCTTTTTCTTACATAAGGAAACACAATTATTGCTCGAACTGTTACCACTGAGCCCGGGAATTGAACTCACAATTGCCATGTCACCGAATTCACGAACAACGCTTTTATTCATTCGGTCGTTGTCCCCTGGCACAATTCTGAACGCAACCTTGTGCCCTCCGACCGAAACTGTACGTTAGCAATAATAATGAGGAGGACAATCGCCCGGATGTAAATAGCGCTAATAATGGTAACACATCATCCGAGAAATTCAAAAACTGTATCTTTTAATTTATTCTACTGTTATCCTGCATGCCTGCCTGCTGCTGCTACTCCAGCCGCTAAAAGGATTGACTGTTTTCACAACAGCTTCCCTCTTCTTACTGATGCTGCTGCTGTTGAATATTTGCTGTCAGTTCTCTTTATTTATAAAGGCTACTATATTTTATTTATTTCTATGCTATGCCTACTGAGCAGGTCTTCGTAGCCTAGCTAATTCCTTCTGACGTCTTACTCTCTAGTGTGCATTTCTTCATAAAATACGATGCTAGTTTTACGGTAAATTAAGTTCTCAGTGGCTTGTTGGAATTTTGCATAAGTCAAAAAGAGATGCGTCGGGTGGATGAAGTTATCATTACGAGGTGATAGGCTTGAGACGAACACTGTATGGACGAAATTCCCACGAAAGACCTATGTCTACTTATTCTGTCGCCTTTGGAAGAGGTGGACGCGCCTCAAGGCGTCGGTTTTATTAGGTTATAGTTTAGCTTATTACTTTAGTCCAGGGAAATACTGTTTTTATATTGTATTAGAGTGTGTACGAATTGATTTATTAAGGCCTATTTTTTGAAAATTTTCTGATATTTCCCATTGCTTGATCCTTTCAAAATTCTTTTTTTATACATCCAATTATTTTCAACCCTACAGCTACTTTCCCACAAACGAAAAGTCACAAGCTTATCGCTAATCTATAGGTATTCCAATGGAAAATATACTAACAAGCTACATTACTTAGTTCTACCAATTACAGTTACAACCAACCATACAATTTGCACGAGACCGAAACATCGTCATCCCCTTTATATTCCATTTGTAAGATGGAAGTTCCTTTCTGACAAATTCTTCTCTAGAAACGCTACATTGAGGAACACACACCGGAGACGATCCTTCTCCGATTATTATAATCTTAACGTCGTCAAGTCGAGAATCAACCGTTGTCTATTCTCCATAGTGACATAATCTGACCTTTTCCTTTTATATCATTTTATAATACAATCTCATTCAGTAACACTTAACCCTGTATTGCTCCTGTGATTTTTACTCGGTTATGCACTGCATAAAACAAAAATGCAACACCTAAACGAATTCATAGATTCGTTTTTAATTCACATTATTTCTGTGTTGCATATGGTTAGCAAATAGATTACTAAAAGGCTTTCTTTTTAAAGCCATAGCATTTTCAAGATAATTTCTTGACATTTTTGCGTTAATGTGAGTGTCTCTCAGGGCCTTGTCCTTGAACATACATTGTTCCTGATGAGGTATCTATGCTGACAACTATTTGCTAATGTCTTAAGAGTAAATCTGATAGATTCGATGAAATCAAATTGGCAGCTGATCTAGAAAATAATCTGTTGTTAATTGATGCAAGAAATGGCTTGTCAATATTTACACCTTGTTATAATGCTCGGACCAACTTGTAATTCGGAGTAATATTACAAAAGAAAGGGCCTGGAATCCAAGATTAGTGAAAGAACGGTTTAATCACGTTGAATAATATTACAATGCTTGAGAATATCGTTGTTAGTGCTATACATTAATACAATTATTACACTAATAAAACTAGCGTAATAGTAACATTACTTAAATTTGTAGAGCTGTGTTTGAAGATTATTTCACAAACGTTTTCATCTACAAATACATACATACATACATATATACATATATATATATATATATATATATATATATATATATATATATATATATTTAGATCGATAGATAGATAGATAGATAGATAGATAGATTTTCTATCGACGTCCTTTGTTCTTTCTTGATGTAGTTGGAGCCCTAGAACTGGTTGGAAAAGATTGCAGTAGACTATTTGAAGGGATTCCTGGAAGTCCATGCCTCAAGGAGATACAAAAAATTGTTCTGACAAGTACAGCCCACACTTTACGAAGGGTTTTATCTATGTAATTTTTTTTTTTTTTTTTTTTTGTCAGTGGAAAGTGTCATGGCGCCATTTCTAACCTTAGATCCCTGGGCGGGACCCGGAAAGAAAATGTGTAAACGCCAGAAATCAAAGGAAATAATAATAATAATAACAATAATAATAATAATAATAATAAATTATATCCTTTATATAATCGGAGATATTTGTAAAAAGTGATATTGTGAAAAGTTGTTTACGCATAATTAAAAAAAAAATATTTGAAATAATTTACATCAGAATATTTTAGGCGTAATTCCCAAATCTAAAAATAAACTAACTACTGTATTACAATAGACAGATATGAGCAAATGGCTATAAATATGAAAAGACTAAAGTAGACTGACAGATAGAAAAGTACTGATTGATAGTTATAAAAAAGTTAATTTTCGTGTCAAAATCTTTGTTATCAATAAGAAGCATTGGAGAACCATACATACATACATACATATATATATATATATATATATATATCTATATATACTTTTAAATTTGTAGAGCTGTGTTTGAAGATTATTTCACAAACGTTTTCATCTACAAATACATACATACATACATATATATATATATATATATATATATATATATATATATATATATATATATATATATATATACATACTTTTAAAAGACAGGAGGTCAGTTAAATCCGCTACGGTAGACTCAGGCGATGTTTATCAAATGCCCTTTTAACGCTTTATTTAAAAAAAAAAAAATGAATTATAAATTATTATTATCAAAAATAAATAAACTAACACACGACATTTTTTTGGAAGAATAATAATAATAATAATAATAATAATAATAATAATAATAATAAAAACTGAATTGAATTCTCAGAACAGAATTATGGCCATTAATAAACCTTGCCATCCCAGTGGTCCAATATAGTTTCAACATCTTGAACTGGACTCTAAAACATCAGACAAATGGATTCTAAAAACAAGAAAGCTTCTTTTTCTAATATAAGATGCATCATCCAAAGGCTGATGTAGACCGTCTATACATACCCCGTAAAGAAGGTGGAAGAGGTCTTATTCAGCTAGAATACACAAGACAACAACTATTGGCTTACTAACTTACATGGAAACAACAAATGACTGGATGATAAAATTAGTGAAACAACATGAAAACAGAAAGAAAAAATATTCAATAATAAAAGAAGGCAGTAAATACAAACAACATTTACATTTAGTAGATTCTGTAGTAAATCAAAAACAGAAGCCAAGAACCAACTATTGCAGCAAAAGATATGAAAACGAAAGCCAAGGATAAAGCCCTTGAGCAGATGAAACAACGCTGGCAAGACAAACCTCTGCATGGCCAATATCCAGAACGTGCAAATAAACCCAATGTTGATAAAAAAAAAATACTCATCGAAGCATCTGGATTAAAGTCTGAAACTGAAGGCTTTATTCTTGCAGCGCAAGACCAGAGTCTTTTCACTAGGAATTTTCAGGCAAATATCATACATAATAATGTGGATCCAAAATGCAGGTTCTGTGACAAATACCAAGAAACAATAGACCATCTAATCTCAGGATGTTCTATACTTGCCCCAAATGAATATAAAAATCGTCACGATAGAGTGGGGCAATACTTACACTGGACAATGTGCAAACACTTTGGAAAATGTAAGCAAACACTGGTATGAACATCGGCCAGCGCCGGTTACAGAAATAGAAGATGTCACCATTCTATGGGATTATACCATCCACACAGACACAAAAAATTGAAGCAAATAGGCCGGACATTATTGTCAAAAAACCAGAAAGAAAAAACTTGCCTACTAATTGATATGGCTTGTCCAGCGGATTGTAACATAGCAACCAAGGAATTTGAAAACTATCAAAATACAAAGACCTGGAAATTGAAATAGAAAAAATGTGGAAATTGAAAACAAGAATAATACCAGTGGTAATAGGTGCACTTGGAATTATAAAAATGGAACAAAACAACACATTGAAAGAATCCCTGAAACCCCAGCTTAAAGAGACATACAGAAAATTGTCTTATTAAGTACAGCACACACACTAAGGAGAACTTTGTCTATGTAACGCTAGCAACTTCATCGGAGATAAAAAAAAAAAAAAATTAACATGAAATGGCCATAACAACACACCACGACCTGCCTTAGGTCTTTCCGCAGACTTGGTAGGTAGTGTGTCCATAGCAGAATTCAAGGCAAAAATAAAAAAAGTCAGAAGACGAAAGGCGTTGGCAAAATCTAAGATTTTTTTTCCCAATTGTCATTTTATACCAATCTGTCTTGTCCACAGAATTGATCTGGGAATTTAACTATATTGTCGACATGAAAAAAAAAAAAATCCCCTAAGGTAATTTACATTAACAAGAAAAAAGGCTTAGACAAAAGCGTCTATCTTTTGAAATTTGGATTTTTTAATGTAATTATAACAACAAAAACATTTCGATTTCATTTTTGACTTGAAAAAGTCGGAAGACGAAACGCGTCGGCAAAATCTAAGATTTTTTTTCCAATTGTCATTTTATACACATATATATATATATATATATATATATATATATATATATATGATTTCTATTTAGACAACTTGATGTCATGACCTTTATAATATTTTTTCAGTTGGTTTGGATTTTAGCGTAAGCCTTATATTTGATTGATTAATTACGGTAAACACATGAGCCTCATTTTAATTCTGTTTTTTTTTATTTATCTGTATTAAGACCTATTTTAAATTAAATGTTAAAGAGTGGAAGTATACTCCATTTGTTATTATCTTATATATATATATATATATATATATATATATACTTTTTTCTTTTCTTATCCAGTTATTCTTTTTCTAACTTCTACTTCCATTTCTTCCTCGCCACCTATCTTCACTCACCCAGCAAATGAGAAAAATAAAACCTGTCCGATTGCTTCACTGACTCGGCATACTATTTTTTAATTAAAATATATTTATACTATTTAATTTTATTCTAGATTCATTTCATTTTACTGTTTTTAAATCGAATCAGTTTTGATTTCAACGCTTCAGGTGCGTACGTCTTGAAATACGTTCAGGTATGCTGACGAATTTTCTTCTGTTGGCAATATAAGTTTTCATTGCATTTTTGGAAAACAAGAATTTTTACCTTTCGATATTTGACCTAAAATAGCATTCACTATCGACATTAACATTAGCCGCTCAGTTGTGGCTAAAGTACGTCTGACAGCAGTTAATTAAACGTGATTATGTCGGATTTTTTGACAACTTACACAAGTAGAATCGTTTTTTTAAAAAAGAGAACTTTTCTTTTACACTGGTTCTGTTGAATCTTTCATACATACGTTAGAGTAATCTTCTCTATTTTAGACCCGGCAACCAAAACATATTAATTATTAAAGAATAAATAGTATTATTTTTAATCCGGCATTTATGTGACTTCAACGTAATAAATACACACACACACACACACACACATATATATATATATATATATATATATATATATATATATACAAATAAGACATGCAAAAGTTAAATGTATCTTAGGCGGTGCGTTTCAGGGAACGAAACGCGTTGGCTACGATAAGTTTTCTTTTGTCTTTATTATTCATATCATCCTTCTGCATATACAGTTTTAGTTATATCTGAAGTTTTACACATAAACACACACACTCTCTCTCTCTCTCTTTCTCTCTCTCTCTCTCTCTCTCACACACAGACACACACACTTATAATGCAAGACTCTTCGGTGGATCGAATCTAGTTCTCTCAGTCACCGTGTGTGTATTTAAAAATAAATACGCTTAAATACACCTTCATCCTTGCGGTGCGCCAACGACGTAGTGGTAGAATCGTTAACTAACGCTAATTCAGCCGGGTTTCGATCCTAGCTAGAGGCAACCGGACGTCTAGCCACACTGATGAGTTGTGATACAGTGAAACAGTCTGTCTGTGGGATGACTATATATATATATATATATATATATATATGCTACCCCTTGAGGATTCGACGGAGTGATTTCTGGAGGGTTCGTCTGCGAAACATCAATCAGCTCCGGAACAAATTTTTATTATATATATATATATATATATATATATATATATATATATATATATATATATATATATGGCATGTAATGAAAGGTTTGGTAATCCGTATAGGTAATTCCAAAGAGGATGTAATCCAGAGTAATCAATGCAAGAACAAAACAAATATTAATTAAATTAGAAAAACAACAACATTAAGTTTCCATGAATATAATTTATTTCCACAGAAAATATATTTTTCCTGGTTCATCAGGTCACATCTATAATCACAAAGGAATTGTGGTGAATGGTCGTGACGTCTCAACTTGAATTTTGTTTACCATTTTTACTTTTTTGTTGTTTGATTTTAATTGGCTAATCATGTTTTGCATTCTAGATAGAGAGAAAGAGAAAAAGTAAGAAGCAGAGAAAAAGAGAGATAAATAAGAAAAAGGAAAAATGAAGTCCAGACAGCCGTTTGATCTCTATCTATAAAAGGCAGGATGTGTGTGTGTGTGTGTGTGTGTGTAACGAATGCACGGCCGCAATTTTCGACGTGGAAATAATCGACTTTTTCATGCTTTTCATGTAGTTTGCGGCCATTTTGTACTGGCCATAGATGGCTGGCACGAATAGGCAGGAATATTCTATTGGCCAGCGTGAGAGCCAACAGCTGACTGACACGAATGTTAACTAGCATGCTAGCATGCAAAAAAAAAAAATCGATAGCTGCATTGGTCACAAGTGGGAAAAATTTAAATCTTCATGGCACTTTACAAATTGGCAAATTCGCTTGCTTAAACTTAACGTTGATTCTGATTCCGCAGAACTGGGTTGGGTGTGAAAAAGTAGTTGTTGTTAACATTCTTTTTTCATTCGGTTTTTCCAGTTACGAGTCCTTTTTTAAAGCTGATCGTTTTGTGTTCAATTTGTTTAGTTCTTTTTTCATAACAGATTTAATGTTTAGTATAAAGCTTAGAAAAAAATCGCAGTGTGAGATAGACAAGAAGTAAGGCATGTAGCAACATCAACACGGCAAAGGGCACTTCTTTAAAGGCAAGGAATGGCAAAAATATTTTAAGTCAAGTGATAGCGATTGCTGTATGTGTCGTACGATTTTTTGAATCAAGCACGGACAACGCCGGGACATGCTGCTAGTATATATATATATATATATATATATATATATATATATATATATATATATATATATATATATATGAGTTAAACAGATTGTCATCTCTGTGTTTGTCATCTCCTATCGAGATGTAGACGAGCATGGCTAGGAATAACTGAAGGAAGTGTAAATTAAGATTGACATTTGTCTTTAAGTGTTTAAGACCGGGGTGCTTTCCACGTTTTCCAGGTTTTGAAGTTAGAGTTCTCCTCAGTGAAGTCGAGAAGCGTGTCTGCTTAGCTAATTAACATTTCGCTTGCAAGACAGACAGACAGACAGATAGATAGATAGATAGATAGATAGATAGATAGATAGATAGATAGATATGAACAGACTGAGATAACGGCTGATGGTAAGGAATGCACTAAGACAGTCGGATACACACGCATACACATGAAGAGACATATACATACATAGATAGCGAGATAGACGTACACACAGACAGACAGATATGAACACACTCAGCTAGTGAAATAGATAAGAACAGTCTTAGATAAATAGATAAACAGACTGGAATAAAATTTCTTAGCAAACAACAAATATTGTCTGCAAATTCAAAGACTACAGAGCGTCTCAAATGACGTCGCTGATTGGCTAATATTTATGAATATAGAAATTCAAATTATTGGAATGTACAAAAAATGAGTTAGTTTTGATTTTAAGAGCTTATGGGATATAACTTAAATCTATTGCATTTTGTAAAATGTTTGTACAATTTATGCATATCTATACAGAGATAGATAGATAGATAGATAGATAGATAGATAGATAGATAGATAGATAGATAGATGAACACACTGCGATAGATTGATTGATTGATAGATATGAAAAGACTGAAATAGATAGATAGATATGAACAGATTGGGATAGATAGGATAGATAGATAGATAGATAGATAGATAGATAGATAGATAGATAGATATGAACAGACTGGGATAGGTATCTATGAACATAACGAGACAGCCTTTCACAACCATTTGGCCTCATATATGTTCTTTCATAAATAAGCACACACGCATACACACACCCTCTTTTTCCCCCCTCTCTCTCCCTCTATCTCTCTCTCTCTCTCTCTATCTATATATATATATATATATATATATATATATTCCTTAATTCTCTAATGCAGTTAAAAGTCTTGACGATCAAATCTCTTTGTCGATACTCACCGGTAATTTCAGCGACGTTGAGTAAATCTGACAGATTTTAAGCAATTCGCTAGTTTCTTGTAACAACAGGCGCCGAATTCATAATATTCTGATTTGAACAGGAAAAGTCTTTGTAATTATGAGAACTGGTCTTTTACTGCCGTGGTGACGTAACAGTCAATAGATTTGAAGTTATCATCACTTTGTTCCTCCTCTGTTGAAATTTCCATTATTATCATGTTTCTTGTTGTTGTGTAGTAGGGAATTACTCTCTTTAAAGTTGGTATCATTCGGTGTCTTTCTGTTGTCTTGTATTCTTGTCTCTTTCAATTTGTCTCCACTTCCTTCCATGTCTCACTCGGAACGCCTGGTCAGTGTCTTTGGGGTACTAAATCTTAATATCACTCGCGTCTGATTTCCCGGTCTTTTATTGGATCAACGATTTCAAGCAATTTCGGGATTGCTTTATTTGTTAAAGTCACTTTCTGTTCCATTCCTAATCTATCAATTCAAATTCCGTCGCCGGCTTCTTTTCGCCGTTCTCTTCACCGATTCGAAAACGAGGCTCTACTTGCTTTGGCCAATCTTTTCAAAACCGCGTCCCTTTTTTATTTATTTTTTTTCATTATTTTATTTTATTTTTTATATACTGTTACGTCACCTAATACAACGCCTAAGGGCCACTCACACTAGGAGTTTACTCAGCGAGATGGTTGTAAAGGAAAAAGGGGTTAAGAAGTACACATTAAGATGACGTATTGCATGAATTCTCGGTTGAAAAAACCAAGATCCTGGTTGTCAGGGAAGCAGGGTCTCCGGTGTATGTCCCCAAAATGTACCAGTTCTGGGAGAAATGCTGTCTGAGTCGAACTGACTCATTATCAAAGGAACACGAATAAGAACGTGAAAGATTTGGCACCGAAAACATGGCGGAATGTAAATATAAAGGTCTGAACTAGTGGACCTTACATAGACGTGTTACATTCAGGACTTTGGAGGATTTTAGGATAGTGTAGGGAGGAGCTAGCAGCATCATACAGTAACTCTCTGCCTTGAGTGACTCTTAGACCTTGTATTGGTTGAACAAGTTTGTATCAATGTTTCAGTGTAAATAAGTCAGCAGACACTCGAGAATAGTAACTTGTTGCCTTAAGATTAAACTTTAATAGTATATAAATTTTACACTACATGTTGTGTAATTATTTGCTGAAATTATTTAGTCTTTGGTGCAATAGTTTGTCTTAATCAAATACCCCGTACGAGGCCTATGTCTACGCTAGGTCTACTGAGGATAAATGATGCAAGTTATATCCCCTCGTTTCTACAGCGGAATGGAAACACCCGAACGTCTTTTATTGAATAAAGTGTTACATCCGAAATTGCCGGATGTTTACTAACAACAACAGCTCCATGAAGAAGTTACATCGACTGAAACTTTGTGACAATCAAAATCAAGATAACGACATTCGTATGCGTATCACAGTTCATGATAATAAGTTAGCATCACAATAATTCAGTGAATAAATTTGAGAAGTCTTCCAACCAAACTATTTATGATTGGCACACAAATTATTTTGATGGATTAGTTTACTTAGGCATATAGCTATAGAAGTGGAACACTTGGTGACAATCTAACAAGCCACACTAGCTCGTCCTGGGTAAGAGGATAATATAAACCCAGCAGAAGGCCTCTGATGGGACGTTCGAGGATTTGAGGAGCACGGATCCACCTCTTAATTGCTGTCGTGTCTAGGTTCTCCTTTTCGGCAGCAAGGCCACTTATTCGGGAGATTATAAGATTTGAGAAGCATGGATCCACCACTTAATTGCTGTTTTTCCCAGATTCTACCTTCCGGCAGCAAAGATTTCACAATGCCATTATAACAGCCGATCGGGTGGTTGGCGGATTTGAGTAGAGTGGATACACCACTTGAATGCTGTTCTTCCCAGGTTCTCCTTTTCAGCAGCAAGGCCTCTGATCGAGAGATTAGAAGATTTGAGAAGCGTGAACCCACCTCTTGATTGCTGTTTTTTCCCTGATTCTACCATCTGTCGACAAGCCATCTTATCAGGACATTGGAGGATTTGAGGTGTGTGGAAGCATCTCTTAATTGCTGTTGTACTCTGGTGCACTCTCACCTGGGGTGGTACTGAATTGTTATAGCAAAATGAGAGACAACTCATTTTTATAGAAAAATGACAACGAATATAACACTAAAATATAAAAAAAAAATATTATTATAAAATTACCAACAATACATTTAATGATCTACAAACTATATATCTGAAAAAAACATTCCTCTACCCGGAAAGTATTAAATTATGTACAAAATATATGTAGTTTAAAGCACAGCATCACGTACAAAATATTTAGATATCGGCATTAAATAACCTATAAAGGTTGATATGCCACTAAACAAAATCAATCAACCAACAATGCATATTTATAGTAAAATGACCAGTGATAAAATTTATCTGTAGTTGAAGGCATATAATTGCGTTCAAAATATTTAGATTTCGGCATTAAATAATCCATAGAGGTTGATATGCCACTAAACAAAATCATCCAACCAACAATACATATTTATAGTAAAATGACCAACGATATATTTTATCTGTAGTTGAAGGCATATAATTGTGTTCAAAATATTTAGATTTCGGTATTAAATAATCCATAGAGGTTGATATGCCACTAAACAAAATCAACCAACCAACAATACATATTTATAGTAAAATGACCAACGATATATTTTATCTGTAGTTGAAGGCATATAATTGCGTTCAAAATATTTAGATTTCGGCATTAAATATAAAGATTGATAGTAAAAACAAAATCAACCAACCAACAATACATATTTATAGTAAAATGACCAACGATATATTTTATCTGTAGTTGAAGGCATATAATTGCGTTCAAAATATTTAGATTTCGGCATTAAATAACCCATAGAGATTGATATGCCACTAAACAAAATCAACCAACCAACAATACATATTTATAGTAAAATGACCAACGATATATTTTATCTGTAGTTGAAGGCATATAATTGCGTTCAAAATATTTAGATTTCGGCATTAAATAACCCATAGAGATTGATATGCCACTAAACAAAATCAACCAACCAAAATCATATTTATAGTAAAACCAACGATATATTTTATCTGTAGTTGAAGGCATATAATTGTGTTCAAAATATTTAGATTTCGGCATTAAATAACCCATAGAGATTGATATGCCACTAAACAAAATCAAACAGCCAACAACACCAGCAAATTGATTAGCGGGACTTAATTAAATATCGCGCTACAGTCGACGCCATGTTTTGTTTTTTTTTTAAGTTTTTTTTTTCTTTTTAAAGGGAGATCTACACTTATTTAGCGAACAAAATACGGTAATGTATTTGAAAAATTTGTTTTCGAGTAATGGGAGAAAATTTCGCGGAATCTTCAGACGAAACCAAAGCAAACGGACTTCAAACAAAGTACTTAGATACATTCGACGAGACAGGCAGATAATATTGATTTTAATGAAATGTAAAGAAAATATCAGGCTTAATTTAGTTTTTTTTTTATAAGTAAATAACAATTTATAAAATGACAAAATAACGTTTTTAGTTGTAATTTTGTAATAGAAATACTAAAACATTATAACCATAGATAAATATATATATATAAAAAAAAAATATACAGGTTCAATATTGTAAAAGAAAATCAATTTTCTATCTTTCTCAATCTGTTTTTTCATAACAGCATTTTGCGTGATGCGCACACCTGCACGCTGTGAGATCTCCGATTAATTACAATGGGGACCACCTTCAGTTCTATCTGCTACCTAGTCAAATAATGCTATACACGACTAAAACGAGTTCATTAATTCAGAGTCCATACTCTTTCTTTCTATGTGCCATTCCCTTTAAGGACGTAGGCGATCATAGCCCTTCCCCTCCCTCTATCCCTTGCAGCTCTCAAGATCCTTCCTTTTGCGTCCTCCCCAGACCACGTTCGGTCATCCACTTGCTTATGGCCGCTAGGTATATCATGCCTTGTTTTCCCTTGTCTCTCATTCCCTCTTTCCGAATCGTTTGCACTGTCTTCAGATTGATACCCAAACACTCTGAAATATTCGTATTGAAGATTCCGGTGCGAATGCCAACAAGTACAGCATGCCATTTCAAAATTTCTTGTGGAGTGAATTGCGTTATGGTGTTCATTTTTTTTTTTATCACAGATGGTGCCCAACTGACCCTACTATGCAGGCGACAAAATCAGAAACATAACCAGCATGCATGGAATTAAAAATATAAAATGGCAACAATTTACCCATTGTTCCCTGTACATTAAATTTCGTTCAATGTTAGTTGCCATCTCGGCAAATGCTGTTCATAGTCGACCAAACTGTTTTTGCAGTTTTATCTGGATACGCATGTATGACGATGTCTTATGTTTCCTTCTAAGGAAACATTCGGCATTCACTGACCGAGAAATCAGTGTCACACAAGATACTCTTTTCTTCATTACATGGCCAAGGAGCTGGAATCAAAGTGTAGTATCTGTTCTCCTTATCTCTAGTAGAAATTATAACACAGCCGTTTCCTTCTAAGGAAACAGTCGGTATTCATTGACCCAGCAGGCATTACTACTCTCGGTTGAAATTTTAAAAATCTTTCTCTCAAAATCATCAAGTCCAGTAGCTCGTTCCAGCATTGAAGGGGTTTAATATTGTAAAAAAAAAAATCAATTTTATATCTTTCTCAATCTGTTTTTTTCATAACAGCATTTTGCGTGATGCGCGCACATACACGCTGTGAGATCACAGATTAATTACAATGGGAATCACCTTCAGTTCTATCTGCTACCTAGTCTAAGGAAAAGTTTTATATAACATAGATTTCAATGCAAATTAGATCGCTGTCATATCGCAATTGACCTTGTCTTACAGATTAATTTACTTAATCAATGTCATGCTCAGTGAAAGCTTCTCTACAGTGGCCTTATACCAGACGAGGTGATACTTAATATAAGACCAAGTTTGCTTATTTGTTTTGTTTTGCGGCATATCAACGCCTCAATGTTTTATTTAATGCCGACAAGATTTTAACAATAGATTCGTATGAAGAGAATATGTGTTCGAGATCAGGTTACATTGGCGTATTTTTTGTAAAGGGAATTTTTGTTGAAAGTCTCGTTTCATTGATGTATTATTTTCAGATATACAGTCTGTAGAGAAATGGATTTTATTGACATTCAGCTTTGATTTATATTATTTTAGAAGCCCGCTGTTTTAAGAAATAATTTTGTGTCATCCACTTTTGCTTTCTTGAAGATTTCATACATGTTGTTTATATTATATCATTTTTACCTTGAGAGAGACAGAGAGAGAGAGAGAGAGAGAGAGAGAGAGAGAGAGAGAGCCAAGCCTGAACACTCAGTTAATATATGTTTAATAGTGTATAATGTTTCACATGCTTGGCATACGGGTTGAACTTCGTTGTTTAGCAGTGGGTTATTCTCCTGCGGCCAATGTCTTCGAGATTTTCTGGCAGCCGACTTCCATTCGCTTAGTTTGAACTGAATTTCGAAAAGTTTATTATTTAGGTTATCGTCCCAACACCGTTGCAATTCCCTTTGAATGTATTTATTACTGATCGCATTAAAGTCGGTGTTTTGGCCGTAGAAGCTACATCCATAACTGATGTAATGAATATGCATACACCTGGGTTCCCCACTCACAGTAATATGATTGGCTGGTGTCAGACATAAATACAGACTGATGTGGAGGTACATGGGGGACGCCTATTGCCTACGCCTTTTCCCTACGCCTATTGCCCACCGCTATGACTAGGACCCTTCCAATAGGTTACCTGATAGATTGTCCTACTCGGTGACAGTAGCGAACAACCACTTCGCTACATCGAACAAATATATCCCTTTCCGGGACATATCAATAAGTG